GTTTGCTGTGAGTCCGAATTGGCCTGATGACAGTGAGTTTGAGTGAGATGACAGTCTAGCTGGTAACTTCAGATCATCCAAGAGAGAGATGCATGTCAGGGAAATCAGAATTCACTACACGCCGAGAATGGATTTCTTTTTTCTTCTTCCTGAAGAACCACTTGTTAAATGTTCACCAGCTTGTCTTCTTTTTCAGCAGAATGGGATGTCTTCAGGCTTTGATAGTATATCTAGTTAGGTGAAGATAAGATATTAGAATACTAGCCACTTAGTAGGAACCTTGGTGATGTAGTGTACATACCCCAAGGTCAGCAGTTCTAAACCACTAGCTACTCTGCCAGAAAAAGACGAATCTTTCTACTCTTATAAAGAGATACAGTCTACGAAATGCTCTGGGGCAATTCTATTCTATTTTATCAGTTCATCAAGAGTCAGAATTGATTCAATGGTAGTGAACTTGATGTTTGGAACTTCTGTACTTCACCTTGCTGAAGAAACCATAGCAAAACTCACGTCATTGGGTTGTGAACATACTTAAATGTTTGTAGACCTTTGATCCTTATTGTTTGGATGCCTTGTAAATAATTTCGTATTAGTATTGCCATTTCAGAATTATCTTCTATTTACTACAAATGGTACTAGCTTACCTCTTGTTTCATATACTGAGCACATATAAGACAATTCACAGTGTAATGGGTTATATAAGAATCTGGCAACTATTGAGAAGCAGTATGTGAGAATTCAGGGGTTAGCATCAATCTGGGGATGTGGTGGGAATAACTGAGCTGATAAAGCTTGTTTACTGCATTGGGCTTAGTTTCCCCGAGCTTTGTATGGACTCTGGGGCATTAGGGAAGTCCTTTCATCTTTCTGAAGGAAAAATTAAAAATAAATAAGTGAAATACGTAGTTAAGTTGGAATCATCCTTGTCTCCATACTTTTCCCCTGAGATAGCGGGCATTGCAATCACACAAGGTTTGGGAAAATCCAACATGCCCTCTGTTCACATGGAATATTCAAAGAAGAGGGGGCCCTCTGGCACATGACTAGTCTGAGTGTAGCGGGCAAGGATGGATATGTAATGACCTTAGCCTGGGCGATCTCATCATTAATAGTTTGCAGATGACAACAGGTGCAGATTCATTCAGAGATCTTGGATTAGCTAGCATTTTGTTCTGGTCTTCGGAAAGACTGGTTACATCCACCAATCCCATAATTGGCTAATTCTGTCTCAACATTTCCATGATAAGTTCCTCCTTCAAGCGGCTTTCTTGCCACAGAATAACCACTGACAGAGCAGACGTCAGAATACACTTGCACAGTCTGTGGAGCAGTTTTAAAAGAACAATACAGGCTAGCCTTCGCAACGTGTTTTACCAAGCTTGTTTCCTTCGCTCCTCAAAATAAAACTAGTTCATGTGATCATTGCTATTGTTATTATTAAGTGACCTCCAGTTATACAGTTGTCAAGTGGAAAACCTGGAGACCACCGGGCAACCACCGTTTAAATCTTGACAGGCTGACATTAGAAGTTATTCACACAACCACCTTGCTCGTCTGCCTCTGTAGAACTGAGGCTGACAAAGAGGTGCCACACGGATGGTTATGGAGCGTGCTGGTGTGGGCTCTCATGAAGCAACATTTGTTTTGAGAGAGTAAGGGCCCTTTCCCCAAGCAGGGTTTAGGTTGAAGTCCGTGGTTACCTCCTCAGCCGTCACCTGCAGCCTCCCTCTTGCCACCTCAGGCTGAAGTTCTGAGCTCCTTCGGGGTCTCACCTGATGCACACTCCCATCTCAGAAGTCAAGCACTTTCCTCTTAGTCT